CAGATGAGATTTTGCAAAAATTGCTCACAGTTTCAGTTAAAACATTGATGTCATCTTGTTTTTTAACAAAGACCATTATGTCATCCGCATACGCAGACAATTTAAAAACATCCCTACAGCCAGGAAAAGAAAAACCCTGTAACTTTGACCCGGTGTAAAAAGGGCTCTATGGCCAGGGAGTAGAGCATCCCGGACAAAGAGCAGCCCTGTCGGACTCCTCTCTGAGCTTCAAAAGGAGCACACAAACTACCGTTTATCTTCAGTACACTCTCAATGTCCCTGTACAAGACCTAGATCTTGGCTATGAGACCAGAGCTGAACCCAAAAGCTTCCAGCGTCTGCCACAAGTACTGGTGTTCAACTCGGTCAAAAGCCTTTTCTTGGTCTAGAGAAATCAGACCAAGCTCACAGCCCAATGAACCGGAGAGGTCCAGAACATCTCGAATTAAAGTCACGTTGTCAGTTATCAACCTGCTGGGTACACAGTATGTCTGGTCTACGTGAATGACATGCTCCATCACTTTCCTCAGCCTAGTTGCTAACACTTTGGAAAGCAGCTTGTAGTCGGTACAGTGTAGAGACACAGGACGCCAGTTCTTAATCTCCTGCAGGTCTCCTTTCTTAGGGAGGAGAGTGAGCACAGCTCTCCTGCAACTCAGAGGCAACCTCCCGTTACTTAGACTGTCTCTGAGCACACTCAGCAGGTTGTCACCTATAACTGGCCAGAGAGCCTTATAGAAGTCTGCAGGAAGGCCGTCTATGCCAGGAGCCTTCCCACTCTGCATGCTCTGCAAGGCCTCCTGCAGCTCCTGGGCAGAGAGCTCCGCCTCCAGCTCAGCATGGTCCTCCTCAGGGACGTTAGGAAGGCCCTCGTAGAACGACTGCGCCACCTCTGGCTCTGCCTGGAACTCTGTTCTGTAGAGCTCTTTGTAGAACTCCACAGCACACTGACGAATGTCGGCGGACTCCTGAAGTGGCTGCCCAGCATTGGATCGAGTGCATCAGCCTCCTCTGACCATTCTTACGCTCCAGACCAAAGAACAAGTGAGAGGGAGCATCCATTTTCACGATGTTCTGAAACCGGGATCTGAGCAGAGCACCCTGAGCAGAAAACCCCAGCAGGTCAGACAGAGCTGAGCTTTTACTTTTGAAAACTTCAACATGTTCTCGCTCTCCTGTGGAGTCTGCCAATCCCTGCAGCTCCACCACTTCTCTCTCCAGAGCTCTCAGAGATCTAGCCATGTCCTTTGTGACATTGAAAGTGTACTGTTGGCAAAGCTGCTTGATCTTCACTTTACCTACATCCCACCACTGCTGAAGAGAATTGTACTCACTCTTAGATAAACGGTAGTTTTCCCAAAATAATTGAAAAACATTTTTAAATGGTTGTCGGCCAACAGAGAAGCATTAAAGTGCCAATACGCACTATTACACTTAACATGATTAATAAAAAGTGAGACTTGTACGAGGGAATGGTCAGAGATCCCCACTGGACTGATGGAGCAGCTTCTGCTCACATTAATGTGATGGTTAAAAACATAGACACGATCCAGCCTAGCCAGAGACAACAGGTTATCCCTAGAGTGCACCCACGTGTGCTGCCGCTGGCCCGGGTGGAAGTGCCTCCAAACATCACACAGCTCAAAGCTTTCTGTTAGTCTCATTAAGGCACTCTTCGAGGCAGCATGCGGTTCCTGGTGGTTCCTATCCAGCACAGGGTTCTCTGTTGAAGTCACCCCCCAGGACCAGATACTCCCCACTATCACAGGTGCTAAGAGTGTGTTTCAGTTCCTCAAAAAACAAAAGCCTCTCCGCGCCCACACTGGGAGCAGAAACATTTATAAAACATATTTTAACTTTTTCAAATTCAGCATTTATTTTGAGCAAGTGTCCTGATGACCTCATCGACCGTACAGGAGAAGGGTGTAAAGCCCCTCGCAAAGAGAATGGCAACCCCTCCACTATTGCTGCGCTTATGGCTGAAGAAGCCCTCCCCCCCCATTCCCTCCTCCAGTCACTCTCGTTCTCAGCAGTGCTGTGAGTTTCCTGGAGAAACGTTGCATTTAAACTCTTGTTTCCTAATAAAGTAAATAAAGACGCTCTCATAGCATCCCCTCGAGCACCGTTAATGTTTAAAAAGCCCAGCTTTATGTCACTCATAATGAAATTATAGTTGCATCCTAACAAAATCAAAAACCTGGCTGAAGAAAAATTATAAATAAAACCAAGATGTACTTATTCATCATTCTTTGCAGTTTCCCCTCTAATCCTCTGAAGTATCTTCTTTAGCCTTCTCTGGGCCGCTGAAGAAAGGTTCCCCTGAGGCTTCTTTGCGCCGCATGAGAACCCTGGCAGTATTGTGAAAGATCTGCACATCAGCAAAAAAGTCATCTAATTTCACCCCCCTCCACCCCTTAGTTTCCGCCAGAAAGGATCTGATCCTCTGGAAAGAATACTCCTCTCCCTTTGCTACCTCAACGATGTCAAAGAATGACTCGCTGTCACTGTCCTCTGAGTCCTCTGAGACTCCCTCTGGCTGAGAGGAGGAACACAGCGACTCCTTCTTTGACACCTTCCCTTTCTGAGCCACACTTCCTTTGCTCACTTGTTCGTTTTTCCTTTTAACAGGTAACCTTAACAAATCCTCATCCATTACCACATCCTCCAGAACAGACTCAGCCACTCTGGCTGCAGTGTGCTCACTATCTGCTTTCTGTGTGACCTGAGTGTCTGTGTGTGTGATACTGTGTGTACCGGCTGCCTGTGTGCTTTCTACGCGTGAAACCGTTGGCTCTGCCACGGACCGACTGACCTGCGGTTCCACCACCGGCGTTTCCGCCACGGGCGCGGGCCCGGCCGTGGACAAAACAACCGGCAGCGGCTCCGCAGCTGGCGCGGACCCCAGCATCTGCGGCCCGGCCGTGGACAAAGGGACCTGCAGTGGCTCCACCGCGGGCACTGTCGGGCCGGCTGCTAGTCACCCGCACTCTCCGGGCACGCGCGGATCAGGTGTCCTGCCGCTCCACAACCATAACATTTCAAAATGTCAGACGTAACATGGACAGTATACAGAAAATCATCAATTTTAAATTTAAGAGCCAGATTAAGTTCCCCTTCATCCTTTTTCAGGACCATAAGCACCTGTCTCCTAAAAGACACAACGTGCTTGAGGTGCGGGGATTTACAGCCCAGGGGGATCAACTTAATGGGAGACGCAAGCTGCCCGTGTCGAGCCAGCTCTCTCTCCAACAACTCGTTTCTCAGAAACGGGGGTACATTAGAGATGATGACTTTTTTAGCTGGAGTGACAAGGAGTAGTACGGGTAACAGCGTCCCTTTATTCACTAGCCCGCTCTCCACCAGCTGGTTAGCTTTCTCTGTGCAGTCTAAAAAAATAACCACTGCACTGTTCATGCGGGAGGCAGATTTAACTCTGCCATATCCCACCACAGCCCCCACAGCCAGACCACACTCCTCCACCGACACACCGACAGGTGGAGAGAGCTTGATGGCGTGTTGGCGAGTCAGCTTCTCTAACACAGATCTGCACCCACGTTATTGATGAAAACTCGACAGCAGGAAGTCTGTTTTGATTTCTTTTTAATGTAGAATATAAAACCAAAAGTAAAACGTTTGATCATAAAAAAATTAACACACAAACCTGAGGGTGGTGCTGTTGAGCTACAGTGTATTAACACACACACACACTTTAAGAAACACACACACTAACACACAAATAATCGCACACGTCATTCAACAGCACACAACTGGCAAAATGGGGTTCTGCTCAACAGATGAAGCGCTGACTGAACCGGAGGACCAGTCTGAAAACTGACAGGATGTTGATCAGGGGATTTGAAAGGTCTATAGCCACCTAGCCAGGTTTTCTAGCCTCTTCTCGATGTACCATTCTTAGAGCTTCCTCTGTGACGCTCTGATGCACTCTCCAAGAACGCTGAAGAGTACGTAAGTCAAATCAAACAGTCTCACTCTCTCTCTTGCCTCATACCTGATCCCAGGATATCACCACAGCTCCACTGAATGTGCAACACCTTCCTTGGCTCTGACACAAACTGTATGTTGTTTACAAAGTGAGAGCCAGGGCAGAGAGAGGGGTTAAACCCAACAAAGCGTTGTGTTGTCAGTGTGTTGGAGATAGAGAGAGAAACACAACTCATTATAACATTCATTAAAAGTACTCTTTTTATTTGGATTATATTTCATTAAAGCCGTAGGAAAACAAGGAGACACATATTCCATTAGGACTTAAGCTAATTAAAACATCCTAAGATACTGGAGGCATTTCAGCTTTAGGAATACACACAGAGTAAAAAGTGAGTATAGTAAATATATGGTATAGACTATTGATCAGATATATAGAGCATGTGCAGCAGTTACAGTAGGCAGTACAGGTATATATACTGTAGGTATAAGTACACGCTAAGCTAACTATAAGACATTATAATAATAATAATAATAATGCATTTTATTTATATAGCGCTTTTCACAACTCAAAGACGCTTTACAGTATGAGGGAGGGTAGACAAACAAGGACAGGCAAACAAGTAAGTAAAAAATAAAAAGGCAGTCAAGAGGAAGTTGATTGAGAGGGGGGGGGCTTATGGGTAGACAGAGTTGAAAAGATGTGTTTTGAGGCGGGAATGAAAGACTGTGAGGGACTCAGAGTCACGGAGATCTTGGGGGAGGGAATTCCAGAGCCTAGGAGCTGCCACTGAGAAGGCTCTGTCCCAAAGCTGCAGAGTGTGGATGTGGGAATGGATAGGAGTCCGGCTGCGGTGGATCTGAGGGACCGTGGGGGTTGATAAGGAGTGAGAAGGTTTGTGAGATAAGGGGGGGCCAGATGGTGGAGTGCTTTGTAGGTGAGGACCAGAATTTTGTAGTTGATGCGATGGGAGACAGGAAGCCAGTGGAGGTCTTTGAGGACTGGGGTGATGTGAGGATTTGGTATGTGTGAGGATTATATGAATCATTAATTGAAAAACGAGATAAAAGCATTTATTAAAGTAATTAAATCGACACTAGGGTGAATGATTTTCTCTAGAGATCACAATTAAGAAAAACATTTTATGGACCATTTTACAATTTAGATATTTTCTGAATTCAACCCAACACTCGTATGTTTGAACATGTGCAGCAGTTACAGTGAGAAGTGAAGGTATAAGGTGTGAGTACAAGTACTGCTAATATAGAGATGTTATCCAGAGACTGTAGACTATAGATCAGATCCAGTATAACTATGTATGGGAATGTGAGAGCACACTTAAAGGACGTTCAGTCAGAAAGGAATGAATACAATAAGCTGTGTCTCCTATCACATGGAGGTGAGTTTCTGAAGGGCCTCTCGTGGGGCTCAGGTGTTCTCAGGCATCAGAAATGTTCCAATGATCTCATGGTTCTCCTGTTTTCTCCTGTAACATATGAGGAGGTGATGTTTGACAGCATGGACTCTGAGGGGAGTTGATGTTGTTGATCAGTCACACAGAGGCAGAAGCCTCTCCATCGTTTTCATAGTTCACCTCATCTTCATCTTCATCATTCTGCTCCTGTCAGCATGGAACAGAGACATGGTAAAAACACAGAGCAGAGCTGGAAAGTAACGAAGTACATTTACTCAGTTTTCTACTTCAGTACATATTTGAAGGACTTGACTTGACTATCATCAGTTAATGCTACTTTACACTTTAACTGCTCCTTGTTTTGGAGCTTCGTGTTGAACTTTTTACTCGTCTTCATCCATTCATCTTTATTACACATTCTTTCTTTAATATCTTTTATATTCCTTTTTTTATTATGTATTTACTTCATTCTTAAATTGAGCAGAAATCTCCATCTATGATGTATTACATGACAAATATAACTAGTTCAGCTACCCAGTAGTATGTAAGTCATTTTAATAAACCATTCATTGCAAATGGAAGTGATACACATTAAAACATCACTTATTATAATCACATATTATATTATTACATTCTGCATAATCAGTTCTTTCAATGTAGGTATATTTGTATTATTAATCATATTTATATATTAGAGTATTTTTACATTGTAGTATTGCTACTTGTAATGAAGTACAATATCTCAGTACTTCCTTTAGTGCAGCGGTGTCAAACTAAAGCCAAATCCGGCCCGCGACTTCATTTGATCCCGCAAGAGCTTGCAAAGAATATAATATATATATAAAATATAATGTTTATTATACGGTTTCATGCCACTTTACAGAAGCAGGTTGCCCATAAACTACATATCCCACAATGCATCTCGTTTTGTGACATGCACACTGAAGAGACTTGCAATTATTTGCCGTAGACTTCTGCTTTTCAGACGTAGTTAATTATGAAGTTATTAAGTTCTAATAATCCAATGCAGCGGCAATAATGTAATATAATACATTATTTTATATATATATTTATATAGTTACAACCGGCCCTTTGAGTGCAACCATAATGCTAATGTGGCCCGCGATGAAATTGACTTTGACACCCCTGCTTTAGTGCCTTGCTCAAGGGACCCACAGAGATACTTCATTTCAACACAACATGCACACTTTACTCCTTTGTTGAATCTTCTGCCTGTCTTATAATCACAGTTCAATGAAAATAATAAATATTACAAGCTATTATTTTATATTTAAACTCACCAGGTTTTTTCTCATCCCTTTTTTGCCCCCTGAAAAAACAAAAAGACAAACATGTTGACTTCAGCTTCCACGGTTTCCTTTGTCTTTTCTCTTGAATCTATGAACCCTCACCTTTAGCTCTGGTCCAGATGTGGACCGTAACCACGGTGACGACGAGAGCTGCTAACCCCACAGACACCAGGATGAGCCACCACACAGCTGGAGAGAGAGAAGTCCCAAGTGTGAAATACAGTCAGAGGTTTTTAGCTGTTAATGTAATTCTTCTCTTCAGTCTCTACCTGGTCCTTCTGGATGTTTGCAGTCTGCTCCTGTTCCGGTGTTGTTTTCAGATGTCCATTCATCAATTGCTGTTCCAGTTGTTGTAGCATCTCCTTCAGGAACAAAACAACATCATCCAAAAAACTGTAGTTAAAAAAAAGGTTTTATGCATAAACCAAATGACAAAATGAAGTGACGTCAAAACCTCAAACCCCAAAAAGCATTATCTGTGATTAAATGTGTGATAAGTGATTTGAAACAACTCATTATATTCTAACCTGGTTTCTCAATTAAGAGCTTCTCCTTTTTATCAGAACCTTCCGTCTCTTCACATTTCAGAAACTCATTACATCGCTGATAAATGTGAGACGTTGTAAATGTGTTGTTTCAGTATATTCTAATAACAAGACTGTTAGAAGTGATTTTAAACATCTCAACGTGTTCTCACCTGAGGACTGAGGGCTGAAGGGAAACAGATGTTCTTCTCCTGTGTCCTCATCAGTTACTGCACAAGTAAACAACTCAGACCTTGTTGTGTTACTAAAGAAAGAAGTCTGAAATGTCACAGAGGCAGAGCAGCGAGACTGTGATGTGTTTATCTCTCTGTGATCTTTGTCCACATCTCGACCCTGAAGCAGCCACTTCACTGGGTGTAAACACCATCCATCTGTCGACACAGAGCAGTCTAACTTCACCTCATCATTGACCTGATGTCCAGTCACTGCAGATGGAGATATTGAGAGAGAAAGACAACCAGAGTAACATTAACTTCATCACTGTAATCATTATTATTGTAATGTTTCAGTATATTGCTCTATAGAGACAGTTTGAAACATCATGATGTAAATACTCACTGGAAACAACAGACAGAATAACATCAGAGTCTGGACCTTGTTGTTCTCCTGATCTGAACTGGCAGACGTAAACACCAGCATCCTCCTCTGTGACCTTCTTTATAACCAGAGAACATTTCTCTGTAACTCTCAGTCTGTCTGATTTAGCTTTGGCTTCTTTGTGAATCTGCCCATCTTCAAACAGCGTCACTGAGCTTCTTGAACCATAGAAGGTCCAGAGAGTATTCTCACACTTATCCTGATCATGTATCACATTGTCACAAGGCAAAGTGACTTCATCTCCAGTTCTGACAGTGCGGTAGTAACGTCTCCCATCTGCAGCTGTGGGGAAAAAGCAGAAGGAAATATAGACGTGATAAATGCTGACAGAATAATGATGTATTATATAAAAAGGTAAAGAGTTAGAGTTCTGGTTGATCTGTTTAATGAATCATTTAACGACACATTAAATTACAGATCCACATCACTAACTGAAGTGTTCATAGTGAGTGTGACGATCACTTTAAAGAATATTGCTATGTGGGTTTTAGTGAGCAAGAGTTCACTAAAGTCACCACGTTACAAACACAACTCTTCACTCTCAGTTCTCTGCATCCTCACCTGGAAAGTGGAGCAGCAGCATCAGGAATGAAGACATCATGATCCTTCTGAATTCAGACATCGTGCTTCTCTCTCAGTCTCTGGCTCTCGACTGTCAGAGTCTCTAACCGGCTGCTTCTTTAACTAGAACTCAGTACCGATGATAACAGCAGATAATCGACAGAAGAAGGGAAGTTGAACGTGGCAAGATGTTTTCTGGTTCCTCATTTCACCTCCAGTGTTTTTCTTCTGAGAACTGAAGGAGAAGTGTTTCGATGACAATGAGGTTAACACCAGCAGCTCTGAAGGCATGACACCGTATAGAAAACTACAGGCACGTATTCAGCTGAGCAACAGAGGAATAATTCAGGCCGATATGAGACAGATCAGTTTGAGCTGACATCCAGTCACTGTGGAGGACCGAGCCAAACTTACATTGAGACACAATCTGGATGTTTATTTGAACATGACTGCATTCCCAGGCCCTGTGTGGCTCAACACCAACTGTTTCCATCTTTGATGAATCTGTTTATCTTATTGAAAAATACAGCATGCCCTTGTCCCCCTAGAGCAGCGGTGTCAAACTAAAGGCCCGGGGGCCAAATCCGGCCCGCGACTATATTTCATGTGGCCCCGCAAGAGCTTACAAAGAATATAATATGTTTATTATACGGTTGAATGCCGCTTTACAGAAGCACGTTGTCCATAAACTACATGTCCCACAATGCATCTAATTTTGTGACGTGCGCACTGAAGAGACTTGCTATTATAGACTTCTGCTTTTCAGACGTAGTTAATTATGAAGTTATTACCCTATCCCATAATAATCCAATGCAGAGGCAATAATTTAATATAATACATTATTTTAAATATATGATATATTTAAATATGTATTTATATGTAGTCTTAACGTTTTGAACTGGCTTTTAATACTAGTTGATCGTAACATTTTGATATGTGTATGTGTTTTTATTAGGGCTGTCAGTCGATTAAAATAGTTAATCGCGATTAATCGCAAATTAATCTGTTCTAAATGTACCTTACAGGAATATTTTTCAAGTTTTTAATACTCTTATCAACATATTAGTGGACAAATATGCTGTATGCGAATGTTTATTATCATTTGAACAATGACAAATATTCTCATGAATATTAAACACAACAACCTCTGAACATTACAAATATTCGCCTCAATTCAACCTGGAACCTCTGTGTGTGTGTGTGTGTGTGTGTGTGTGTGTGTGTGTGTGTGTGTGTGTGTGTGTGTGTGTGTGTGTGTGTGTGTGTGTGTGTGTGTGTGTGTGATGGATCGTTGGAGCTATGTGCAACTCAAGGCATATGCTCGAACGGGAGCTGCCTGAACGCTGCAATCATGTTGCACACTATCCGTGCTGAGTGTGCTGACTTTTCCTACAATGTCCCGCTGTCTGGCTTCCTGCATAAAGTCAAGTGTGGTCTGCCACAAGCGGGCGGCAGGAGCGGGGCTGTACGCATCAGCTTGTAGATGGTATTTTAAACTCGATGCGCTCTGAAACTACGGGGCGGCCGAGGACAAAAAATACACATGCGTTAATCGCATTAAAATAATTAGTGGCGTTAATTTCTTTTTGCGTTAACGCGTTATTAACACGTATTATTGTTTTATTATTTTACTCCTATTGTGTTATTTGATATTTGTTCTCTGTGCAGCACTTTGGTCAATTGAGGTTGTTTTAAATGTGCTCTATAAATAAATAAAGATTGAGATTGAAAGTTACGACCGGCCCTTTGAGTGCAACCATAAAGCTGATGTGGCCCACGATGAAACTGAGTTTGACCCCCCGCCCTAGAGGACTCGATACAAAGGAAAAACTGGCACAAATCCACGGCTCCACATCTTCTGCCTTCTTCTGGACATCTCATTTTTGGCGAGACGTTGGAAGTAAAACGAGGTGAATGTAAAAGGGGCCATTCAATATATATATGAATGCTGTGTTGTTTACATTCTTATTGGCTAGTTTCTTTGTGTTATAGCTCAACATGATTTAAGGGGCGAGCAGATAAGAAGCACACACATTTGAGTATAAAGTTTAGACACAGTTGCTATAGCAACTCCAACAATTGGCCTAGCAACGGCTTAGCAACCCCATTGTTTTGTTATGAAAATGTATCTATATATATTTATACATATTCTCGCGAGATTTATCAGGGGTCGTTGTAAGTTAAAGCGCAAACTGTAACTTGGCTAATGTTGTTATAATTCTCAGTATGTGAACACAGATCGAAAATGGAAAGATTTCTCACAAGTCAGCGTAAACGACCGCGATCTCCAACGGAGCCGGTCCAACCGGACAACCCTGCTATCCGTGTGTGCGTGCGTGCATGTGTGTGTGTGTGTGTGTGTGTGTGTGTGTGTGTATGTGTGTGTGCATCTTTCTGTTTGCGGTGTGGTGATGAGGTTAAATGCCACAGCATGCCAGTTGAAACAGTGAACGATCGCTATTGTGTACTTGTATGCTCAGGGTGTAATGGTATTATACAAAAATATTGTAGGAGCACAGAAACAGTGTTCAAATTCTGCTTTTACAAACTTATTTTGCTTGTGCTTACCTTGCGAAGTAATGTTATAAGTATCAAAGGAATATTTTAATGTAAATATTAATGACAATATTGTAGCGTGACCAAGTTAATAGTTATTTCAGTTATCAGATGTGCACAGTTTTGTACATTTGTAAAGTTATTTAGGCAATGTTGTTGGTGGGAGTTAGGGAGAGACCGCCCCTTCCAGGTGTGTGTGTGTGTGTGTGTGTGTGTGTGTGTGTGTGTGTGTGTGTGTGTGTGTGTGTGTGTGTGTGTGTGTGTGTGTGTGTGTGTGTGTGTGTGTGTGTGTGCGTTTTCGGTGTGTGTGTGGAGGGAGTACGAGACGTTAGGAGTTGTGTTCGAGTGTGGAGAAAAGTCATAATGAGTGTTATACTATTGATTGGTTCTGTAAGGCGTGGCTGTGGCCGTCAATACCAGAAAATAAAGAGAACGTTTTCGACATTGAAGGCTCGAGTGATCTGTGATCTTGAATAGCGGTGAACGCTACAATATGAACAGGCTCGTGTTTGGCCCACTGGTATTGTTTGTTTATTTATTTTGAAAATTAACTAGCAACGCCGTGCTGTCATATAGCAACTGCTAAGCTACTGCAGCAAAAACATCCTGGCGCCGCCCATGATTAGACTCCTTTGTTTACTTACTGACATCATGTTACACTCACGCTTCTATTGGCTAGCGCTCTAGGGCTGTCAAGTTAACGCGTTAATAACGCGTTAACGCAAAAAAAAAAATTAACGCCACTAATTATTGTAACGCGATTAACGCATGTGTATTTTTTTTCCTCGGCCGCCCCGTAGTTTCAGAGCGCATCGAGTTTAAAATACCATCTACAAGCTGATGCTGACAGCCCCGCTCCTGCCGCCCGCTTGCTGCAGACCACACTTCCACGCTCACCGGCAGGCACTGACTGGCCATTGGGAGGACCGGTAGAGACCTTACGTGTATTGCTGTTGTTAGCATCTGGTGCTAGCTAGCTGCGCTAACGGATATAAGGAGCTGTTTCAATGAAAGCAGAGCAGCGACATTTTGCCGACAACTGCGCCGAGCACTTGACTTTATGCAGGAAGCCAGACAGTGGGACATTGTACGAAAAGTCAGCACACGATGATTGCAGCGTCCAGGCAGCTCCCGTTCGAGCTGCCTTGAGTTGCACATAGCTCCAACGATCCATCACACACACACGCACACGCACACGCGCACACACACACACACACACACACACACACACACACACACACACACACACACACACACACACACACTTTGTATTGTATTATTGTATGAGAGAGGTTCCAGGTTGAATTGAGGTGAATATTTGTAATGTTCAGAGGTTGTTGTGTTTAATATTCGTGAGAATATTTCTCATTGTTCAAATGATAATAAACATTTGCATAAAGCATATTTGTCCACTCATATGTTGATAAGAGTATTAAAAACTAGAGGAAAAATATTCCTCTATGGTACATTTAGAACAGATCAAAAATGTGCGATTAATTTGCGATTAATCGCGATTAACTATGGACAATCATGCCATTAATCCAAGCGGCAAACTCTGGGGAACAGCCGGGACGCCAATACGGAAGTGCCACACACTGCAGTTCATACATGGGCCGCTAGGGACTGGCTGCAGAAAGGAGCAATTTCCATAGACCCCCATGTTTAAATGCCCAACTTTACAGCAGAAAAAAACATGTTTCTACCCATGGATGCAATACATATTATTATCAATATAGTTAGATTCCACCTTCATGATTATGAATCTGTGAGTGAATTGTTTTCTAACACGACCCTTTTATTTATATTAGGTCTTAAAGTTTTTGCATAAATTAGGGCGTGGTCACGTTGATGGACACGTACATGCCTCACTGTCAGCTAACAGCAACTTGTCCAATCTGCTAGGCTACAACCATAGAGGCGACAACGTTAGTTAGTCATAGCACTGTACTTGACCCTTTAGCTTTAGCCGTGTTCGTGGTGATTGTGCCTTTTAGGGAATATTGTTACAAATACCAGACAATTAAAATGTCGTGCTGTGCGCTTGAATGTACTAACAGAACTTCCAAGAAGTCTAAAATGATAATATTATACATGTTAACCCCGTTCGCAGGTGTTTGTGTGCTTGGTAGCTTAGCTTGTTACTTATTAGCCAGCTAAGGACGTAACCCTTTATGCATACATATACATTGTAGTTTATGATTCAGCCTTGGGTAAGACTTTTATAGTCTATGGCTATGACGCCCATAATGCTAAATGGGAGCAAATGTTAATAGGGGACCCAATTATCCCAGTGGTGGCCGCCTGAGCTAACGGAGCCGCGGGGGGCTAGCTCCAGCCGGCGTCCCGGAGCTAGCCCACTGCAGCTCCGTTAGCTCCGGGCGGTGGAGTCCATATTTTCTCAACGTGTGAATGACAAGCATTAAGAATAACAAAATATAGCTAATTCTCTTGCAGATTGTCTTGTCTTGATTATGAATGTAACGTTTATATAGGGGAACGATACTG